TTTCTGAGTTAGCATAATAAAGCAGAAGGAGCACTAGATGGGGGGGGATCAGATGTCCTCTGGGGTAGGCCCTAGTCCTGCAGTTTGCAGGTGCTGAGACTGTAGGCAAGTCATTTAACCTCTGGAAGCCTCAGCTTCCTCAGCTATAAAATGCAAGTAGTACTCTTAGAACTACCTACTTTGCAGCACAATTATTTGTAATCTTAAAGCACTTTATAAACACAAGCTATTATTGTGTAAATGTTGTTGCCTGCCCAATAAAATATAAGCTAAAACTCTTGTTTTTTTTCCCCCTGACTTCCCCTTTGTCTAACCCAGCATCTGGCACATGTCAGGTATTTAATGAATGTTTGTTGAATGAATACATTACTGGAGAGAATACACCTCTTATATAATCCAGTGTCTCAGGTGGTAATTCAGATAATCAATGCCACAGAAATTGAGAGAAGTGAAATATCTGTGTGGGCTGGAGTATTTGACTAAAACTTCACAGAGGAAGTGAGACTTGAGCTGGACCTCAAGGGATTGATGTGGGATTTCTATAAGTGGACACCTACATATTCACCTGGGCAAAGATCCCCACCTGCAGCATTTAGTTTCAGCTCATGGAAGAGTGTTAGTACCACCACTAAATTGTGTTACAAACATATGACACAATAACACTATGTTTCCGTGTTGCATAGGGTACAATCTGATCAAAGGTCATGTTTTTGGAATGCAAGGGAAACCAGTGAGTTAGAGTCAATTCAAGGTAGCTGTAGGAGGGGAATGATTTTAAGAGGCACTAACAATGATTTTAATGATGATGATGATGGAATTTAGTACTTTAATTAAGGTTTGGAGAGTGCTTTGTACACATTACTCCATTTGATTATTATAACCACCTTTTGCAATGGGTGCCATTATTATACCCAGTTGAAGATAAGACAATGGAAGCTCAGATGTGTTTAATGGCTTTTCTAGGGTCACAAAAGTAAATGCCTGAGGTAGAAGTCAAATCTGGGTCTTCCAAATTCCCACTGCTTTTCTAGACAGAAGAGATGCTCTTTGGAATTCTCAGTGCTGAGCTGAGTGTCCTCGGGGTTTATGGGAGTGACAGAAACCTACTCCATTTTCCTTCTCCCTTGACCCATACATGCTTCCAAAGCCAGAAAGGGGTTAGTGCTTCTTGGACTACCTGTTTTCCTTACCATGATGCCAGGCCTCAGCTAGGGTCTGGTTGCAATTAACTTGCTATTCCTCACCCAATAGAAAGATTTGGTGTGAGTTTGCCTAGGGTCTCTTGCTGCTTCTGTCTCTGATACTATGTGCTATATACTTAGGAAATAATAACAGTAGTAGCTGGTATTTACATAGCGCTTTAAGGTTTGTAAAGCACTTTACCAATATTACTTCATTCTATCACCACTATACCCCAGGAGGTAGGTGCTATCACCCATTATTATCTCCATCTTACAGCTGAGGAAACTGAGGCAGAGAGAGGTTAAGTGACTTGCCCAGGGTTACACAGCTGAATTCAGGTCTTCATGATTCTAAGGCCATTGCTTAAACCACTGCACCACTCAGCTACCTCCAGGATTACTTCTCAAAGCCTAATTAGCCACAGAACACATCACAAGAAGTGGTCCAGGTCTAATTCAATCCTCATGCATGCTCCAAGGGAATGACCATTGTTACAAAACATAAAGCCAGTGCATATGAATGAAAATATTCATAGAAGCTCTTTTTGTTGTGGAAGAACTTTGTCCAAGTCTCAGCCCAAGCCTCACTTACTCATTGTTTGGGTTTTAATGGCTTAGAGTGAAGGTAAATAACAGTTGTTTCTGTTCTGGCCAGAAACTCTGAGGGTCTTCCCCTTCCAGATTGATTCTTTTGTGAAGGCCATCTTTTGCCTCAATTCTTACCTGGCCTTTAATTACTGAGTGGATGTTGCCCTAGACAAACTGGTATCTGGGAAAGACAGCTTAAAAAGGCCAGGGTCTCCCACTGCATCTGGGGCCATGCCCAGTCATCCTGACCTGCGTCTTGCCACTGGACTTAGGTGACTCTGGAGGAGATGGTGGGGCTGATGACTCTGCACAGCCCTGCCTCACTTAAATCCAATTCACTTGCAAGTCAAGACATCACCCCGCTGATGTCATTGGTTTTTGAGAACGAAGCACGAAGAAGCAATGAACTGGGTACTAAGGAGGTGTCCTCCTTTTCGAGAATGGCAAACAAATTATGGCATGTGAATGTAATGGGATATTGTTGTGCCATAAGAAATGAAGAAGGCAATGGTTTCAGAGAAACCTGGAAACTAATGCAGGGTGAAGTGAGCAGAACCCGGAAACAACTTTGAAAGACTTGAGAATTCAATGACCAACCATGATTCCAGAGGACCAATTATAAAGTATGTTACCCCCCTCCTGACAGAAAGGTGATGGATTCAGGATATGGAATGAAGCACTTTTTGAATATGGACCACGCAGGAATTTGTTTCGCTTGACTATGCATATTTATTACACAAGTTTTGTGATTTTTTTTCAAAGGGATTGGAAAGGCAAGAAAATCAACTTATGTTAATTGAAAATCAATTCGATTTTAGAAACCAAAAACCAAAAGCATAAATCCAGCCTCTCAGCCCAAGATACACTATTTTCTTGATGACATCTTTCCTGACCCAAACTCAGATCCCAGATTTGAACATGCACTGGTTCACTGGAAGGATAGCATATCATAAAGCATATTAAAAAGTGAGTTAACGCCTTGGAAGGAACCTGAGATGGTGCCTGAGATGCATAGTTAACCGAAGTTCAGACCACGCTGATTTATTCCTTTGTGTGTGGGGGTAAGGGGACATGGTAGTGGAGTTATGGGTACCGATTAGCAAGAGAGCCATGTTTAGAGTGCGGCAAATCTCTCCTGTCCTTTGCTGGCGCCAAGGAGGAACACTGCTATGATCTATTCACCCCCTCAGCAGAATGTCCAGGAAGGCTCAGGATAGAAACATAAGTCAGGATGGGGGAGCAGGAGGTAGACAGGTTGGATGAATGAGGAATTGTGGTTGAGTTTATGACCTTTAATTATCACTAGTGAGAAGAACACATTTCGTGGACAGGGAGAAAAACAGAATGATTTGTTGTTGTTATTGTTCAGCTGTTTTCAGTAGTATCTGACTCTCTGTGAACACATTTGGGGTTTTCTTGGCAGAGATACTGAAATGATTTACCATTTCCTTCTCCATTTCATTTTCCAGATGAGGAAACTGAGGCAAACAGGGTTAAGTGACTTGCCCAGGGTCACACAGCTAGTAAGTATCTGAGGCCAGATTTGAACTTAGGAAGATGAATCTTTCTAACTCCAATCCCACCACTCTATACACCAAGCCACTTAGCTGCCCCAACAGTATAATACAAAAAAAAACCCCCAACCAATTCTGGGCCAAGTAACCTCAGAAAAGGTGTCTGTGTAGAATGTACATAACATTCTGCTACAAGGGCACATCTAGAACCTATTCTTGTATGATCAGATCCCCTCACCAAAAGAAGTGTCAACTTCTGTTCTCTGAGCAAAAGGATTTTGTTCACATGTGTGCACCTCCGCACCTGAAGCTGGCCAAGGGGGGATGGTTTTCTTTTTGGGTGTAGTGACTCATGATGATTGTCTAATAAGTGATGAAAGGATTGGGAGGGCTTGCAATATGCTTCTCTGTGATGATGAGGAGAACACACTCATAACCTCACAGGTATTCAGAAGTATTGAAATATGTATGTATGTACGTGTATATGTGCATACAAGTATATGTACATAATGTCTGTAGGATGGGGAGAGCTGGGATAGTGAGTAGGACTGTGATTTTTATGCTGTAAGGTGCTCTCAGTAACTAATTTATACATAAGTAATTTGTTACTTTCTTTGCAATTTATAATTTAAGGGAGTTACATGAGGCACTGAGAGGTTAAGTGAATTGCTTATACACACACACAGTCACATACATATACATATACATACACATACACACATGTACGTAACAGAGGCAGGACTCAAGACTAGGTCTTCCTGCCTCCAAAACCACTCTTTCTTCACTATTACTGGGCCATCTCCAGTTGTCCTGACCTATATCTGGCCACTGGACCCAGATGGCTCTGGAAAAGAAAGTGAGGTTGGTGACTTTGCACAGCCCTCCCTCACTTAGATCCAATTCACTTGCATGTCATGGCATCACCTCCCTAATATCACAGTCCTCTTTGAGAATGAAGGACAAACAATAACCTGTGAGTAGTTCCAAGCACCATTGGGAATCCAACTGGACAGTTTCACTTGGGCCAATCAGCTCCTCCTCCCCTCCCCTCCCTTCCCTTTCTCCCTTTCTCTTCTCTCTCTCTCTTTTTTTGCTTAGGCATTTGGGGTTAAGTGACTTGCCCAGGGTCACACAGCTAGTTAAATGTCATATGTCTGAGGCTGGATTTGAACTCAGATCCTCCTGACTCTAAGGCCAGAGCTTTATCTACTGCACCACCTAGCTGCCCCTGTCTTCTCTCTTCTTTCCTCCCCTCTCCTCCTCCCCTCTCTGTTCCCCTCCTTTACCCTCCCCTCCCCTCACATATTGTATATAAATATATATATATAATACAACATAGCATATAAATATATGTATTATATATAATACAATTATATAATACAGTATTATATATGCAAAATATAAATATATTATATAATATATAAATGAAGCTTGTACAACATATGGCCTGGGCCGCTTGTGGCCTGCCAAAGGATTTCGGGTGGCTGGCATACAACCTATGACAACCAACCATGAAGCAGCCTGGGCCGTTTGTCAGACCTGATGTACATATAATTATATAATATATAAATATAATTATATAATATAGTAATATTATACGTAGTATCGGTTCATATTTATGTAATGATTTAAGGTTTGTAAAGTCCTTTACATTCATTACAATATTTTATTTTCACAACAACTCTGTGATATAGCTACTATTACTCTCATCCTACAGATAATGAAGTTGAAGCTTGGAGAGTTGAAATGATTTACCCAGGGTCACACAACTAGAAAAGTGTAGAAGGCAGGATTCAAGCCCAAGTCTTCCTGACACCAAGGCCAGTGCTCTATTCCTTATACCAGATTGCCTCTCTAAAGGTATGGATGCATACATGTAGGTTTTGGGTTTTTTCTCTCTATTGGCAGAAATCAACTTTATTTGTGTGTAATTATCTATATGTATACCAACATTGTGTGTCTGATGCACGCATCCATATGTATATACACCCAACATGTAGACGTAATTATAATTTGCACATATGGATGTAGGTATCAGATTCTCCTGCCTCCAGGATCAAGTTCAGATTCCTGTTTTACATTTAAAGCCCTTCACATAGTATGAGTATACTTATTGTATAGAAAGCTACACTTTCTATCTAGGCATCAGACTCCATGGTTTCTAGGTCCTAGTACAAACTCCTCTGCCTGGCATTTAAAGTCCTTCCTCGTCTGATTCCAACCTACCTCTCCAGACTTATTACATGTTATTTTCCCTCAGGTGGTCAACAGTCCAGTCAGCCTTGTCTTCTTGCTTTTCCTCATACCTGGCATTTTCATCTCTGTGCTTTTTGTCCCTCATGCCCGAAATGAGCTCCCTTCTTACCTCTGCGTCTTGTTGTGCCTTGTTTTCTTTACTATTCAGCTCAAACACTAGCTTCTTTATAAAAGCCTCTTCTGATCCACCTCCAACCCTTGAATCTGCTTGTGCCTCAATCCTTAATAGTCCCTTGTCTTTATTTTGCACATATTTTGTATATATCTATGCAGCAACCCCTTTGGGTTACCTCCCCAACTTAGCTCTTGAAAGTTTCAGGCTTGGTCTCTTTTATTTTTATTTATTTATTTTTGGAGGCAATCGGGGTTAAGTAACTTACTCAGGGTGTCAAGTGTATGAAGCCACATTTTAATTCAGGTCCTCCAGACTCCAAGGCCTATCTACTGCACCACCCAGCTGCCAATTTTATTTTTATTTTTAATAAAATTTTTTTCAGGTTTAGTCTCAAGAAGCCAGCTCTGACCCCAGTTAAAACCATAGATCACCAGCCCTTACCAATGTGTTTATCTTTAATGATGGATTGGAAGAGTAAGAACAGTAACTACAAAACATTCTGCTCTACCCAACCCCCGCCCCATAAACTTGGGCTGAAGTTTCAAATAACATCAGTGTGAAGAATGAGTGCATACACAGAGAATACTGATAGAGACACACATGCTGGGAACACACATGGCCAAGATAATTTCTGCCTCCAGCACCACAGAATCTCCATGTACTTTCTCTTCTCATTGTTGTTCAGATGGGCTTTCTGCGGTTACTTTTTCCCACCACTAGATTTCTGACTCTTAAAATGCATATCTAGCTCTCTTCTCTGCTTCCAAGGGTCACACCCATCAGAGCAGTCTTTTGAATTGGCTGTCTTTGGGTCTGTTCCCTGCTGTTTCTCCTCCTGGGCAAGTAGCTAGCTACTCCTGCAAAATGCCATTGCTGAGGGGGGTGCAAAAAAGAGAAGAAATCCCTCGGCCATCCTCTGGTAGAGGTGAAAGAGGAAAGGCAAAGAGCTGGGTTTTTCATCTCTAGGTGTTTCTTTTCTCTGCTGCAAGGAGCCACACTCCTCAGGGTTATCTCCTACTTCTACTGCCTATGTAATGATCTTGTCTTACTTTTTGAAGTCCCACTGCAGTTATGGGTGGGAAGGTGACTAAGCCTTAGTAAGCCAACATCTAGTTGTTGTTCATCATGTCCAACTCATTGTGATCCGATTTGGGGTTTTCTTGGCAAAGACGTTGGAGTAGTTTGCCATTTCCTTCTCCAGCTCATTTTACAGATGAGGAAACCGAGGCAAATGGACAAGTGACTTTCCCAGGGTCACATAGCTAGTAAGTGTCTGAGGCCAAATTTGAATTCAAGAAGATGAGTCTTTCTGATTCTAAGCCCACTGCTCTATCCACTGTGCCACCCATCACACTTGACTGAAGACTTCACACCTTTACCTACTTCTTCCTTTATCTGTCTCCTTATGTTCTTTGCAAACTTCCTTCCCCTTCTTTCCCTTCCCCATTGTCACAAATAAGAAGAATGGTTACTCCTTCCAGCTTCTGGATTGTTTCTCCCAGACGCCTTCCAAAAACACAGTCTTCAACATCCAAATTTAAGCATGTCATCAACTGCTGAACTCCGAGATGGTCTCTGCTCAAATCTCTCATCTCTAGAAAGGGCTTGAAATGTAGGTGCTACATTCACTGTCCACTCCATGGGGTATATTGGGTCTTGGGATCAGGGCATATTGTTCCTACTCTCGAAGCAGGTGATCAGAGATATAATACTTCCCAAGGAAAGCTTCCGATAGTAACCTTAAGTCTATTGATTATTCAGAACTTTCTTGGCAATAATTACTCTTCTTTCCCCTCCCAAGGACAATTATAGCTGGAAGTAGGAACCAATAGTGATCTCTCAATCTTGTTCAATGCTTGGCCTACTAGATCTTAATGTAGCCCAAGACCACTAGGCTTTGCTTCTCTTAGAATCCTACCATGGGATCAGTAACTCCCTGAGAAGTCTAGTGGGATCATTAATCTCATGGGCAGCCCAATGGGATCAATAACCTCCCTTTATCAATAAGCATTTAAAAAGTGAATAATGGCACCTGGCTCACCCTGACTTTATTTCCCCTTCAGTTAAGTGGCTGGCGTCTCAGAAACGCTAAAAGAAACTAAGCCAATTTTCTCCTAATTTTTATTCCTTTTTTCCCCAACCAAACAAATTGTGTTTTTGTTTTTGTTTTGTGTCTGGACTGATTCTTAGCACCAACTCTGCATATAAATAACCTGTCATCACTGCTTACAAGACTGGTAATGGCTGAAATGCAGTCTCCAAGGATAGCAGGGAGAAAACGAGGCAGACCTCCACTTCACTCGGCACCAATGAAAATGGCAGTCCACAACCTTTACTCTTCTTCTGCCTGTTCCTTACCAGTTGTGAAGATCCCGAAGAAGAGAGGCCGGAAACCTGGGCACAAGGTATGTTTCCAATGCATCTTTCCTCAAAGGTTGTCTTACACTGACACCACTAGCATCAGAGTGGAATTAAAATATGAAACACAGCAAAAGGTGGAACAGTCATTGTAGAGTCTGCTAAGGACAGAATGAGAAGTTGTTCTCAATGCCATGTATCACCACATCTTGTTGTTACAGTGTGCCTGCTTAACATGTAATAATAATAGCAGCTCCTATCTATATAAGGCAGCTAAGTGGTGTAGTGGATAGACAACTGGGCTTGGAATCAGAAAGACTCATCTTCATAAGTTCAAATCTGGCCTCAGATGCTTACTAGCTGTGTGACCCTGAGCAAGCCCTGTTTGCCTCAGTTTCTCATCTGTGAAATGAGCAGGAGAAGGAAATGGCAAACCATTGCAGTATCTTTGCCAATAAAACCCCAAATGGAGTCACAAAGAGTTGGGCATGACTGAAACAACTCAGCAACAACCCATCTATATAATACTTTGAGAATAATAATGAAGTTTACATATATTATCTTATTTGATCCTCACAACAGCCCTGTTTTAAGGTACTATTATTATTATTCTCATTCTCATTTATGTATTAGGAAACTGAGGCTCAGGGAGTGACTAGCCCAGGGTGACAACAGCTCCTAAATGGGTAGGTGAGGTGCAAACCCAAGACTTCTGACTCTGTGGTTAGCACTTTATCTCCTATAGCATCAATACAGTCATATCAATTTTGGGGTTAGGGAAACTGAATGAATAAGAGACAAAGTAAGGTCAAGATAGAGAAGATTTGGAGGCACACAACTAAACCCAGGTCTCTAAAGCCATCACCTAAGTTAGCCTTTCAAGCAACAGACCATTACCTGACCTCTTACTGGAGCTATTTTCAAAGCCACCATCCAAAATGCATTCGTCATTTGTTTGAGTGGAAGCAGATGATGTCTCTCAGACAGTTAAATAAATAATACTATCAAGGCAATGTCAAGGAATCATAGAAGAGTTTTTCTCAAAGCCAGCTCAACCAGAGACCCCATGAGGAAAACACAGCTCATTAATTCACAGCTTCCTGATTGCATAAAGGAAACACTGATGTCAGGCTTGGCTCCTCTTTGATGGATTCCCAGTGATCTGGAAGTGGGGAAAGAACCAAGTTCTCTGATGTAATCCCAGTCATATAAACAGACTCCAAACCAGGGACAGTCTTCTTCCCTTCTGAGTTGGGAGCCAAGTATTTCTGAAGAGTCTCCCAGAGAAGAAAGACCATCATGCTGGCCATTTCTGAACATTTTCCACTTCAGTAAATTCGATTCAGAAGCTTTCTCTTGTTTGGAGAGAAGGAAAGACTTAGGCATCCATTTTGAGATCGGAATACTCTGCCCAAAATGCAAATTTCCAATTAACTCCCATAGATTTAGGAAAATGTATGGAAATTATTTCAGGTCTGCAGAAAGACAAAGCCTCTGGAAAGTCTGTAATGAATTCAGCCTTGTCCCCTTTGGTTCTGAAGGAACCAAATGCTAGGAAAAAGAAAAAATAACACAGAAATACACACGCATACAATACATTCATGTACATATGTAAAAAGAAGCTACTTAAAGTTATTTAAGGGTTATTCATTTTTTGGTTTCAGTCATCTGATGAGGTAAATTTGCCTCTAGTCTCTGGATGATTTTTCTTGGACTGGATAACTTCTTTCTCATTGGCTAAGTCTTGATTTAGAAGGTACTCTTTCAGAGCTGGTATCAAACTGATATCATTCCTCCCAGCTCCCTTTCTTAATGGCGCTGAGGTCTGACTATCCCACCTGCACGCTTGGAGCAGAACAGACCAGTTACTGATCCAGGGAACAAATCCAGGGACTGGAAGAAAAGCTGTGAAACTTCAGTTCCCTCCTACACCCTTGGGAGCTGTGGCCCATAAATAAAAAATGCCAGTAAAGATATTCTTTACTACAGCCAGAAAGATGGGAATGTGTTCCATAGCTTGAGCCTGACTTCATGATTTTCCTTCCTTTAAAAACCACGTTTTCAGTCATTCTGTCCTTAGTGCCACATAGCCAGCTGGCCTTTTTCACTGTTTCACATTTTAGTTCCTCTCGGGAGGCAGTAGCATGAGTCTTCATGGTTGGTGACATTTTGGGAGGGAGCTTCTGAGACCGAGGTGGTCCAGGGTACTTGTCTTTTCAAAGAAGGCTAGTCACTCCCATTCAGTAAGGCTTTGGGATCAAATGAAGTAACATATGAAGTGCTTCACAAACTTTAAAATGCTATATAAATGTCAACTATTGTTATTATTTTTAACAACAATAATGTTAATAATAATGATGATGATATTTGGTGAGCAGCAAGCCCTACTACTCTCTCTGGGTCCTCCTATGGAAGTCCAGGTCAACCTCATACACAAAGAGGCAGATCACTCATGATAACTGGTGGTGGGGCTAGTGTTCTAGGGTTTTGTTTCAAATGAAAGGATCATTTTATTCTTTGGTCCTGGGGAGAAGAAGTCTGTGCAATTGAAAAGCTTAAGACCCCTGGGAAGAAAATTATATAGTAACACCTCACTTTCCCAGATGTCACCTATTGGGCAACCTCAACTTTCTGGAACATTTCCCAGAATCCAGATGTGAACAAATTCCCCTCCCCCCCATTAACTATTTTAGACGGGAATCTGTCTAAAATGCATTATACCTCTCCCTGCCGCCTTAAACAGAGCATTCATAGCATAATTAAACCTTTTCTTATTGACCTAGGGTCATTCTCATAAACATCATCCATTGTGCTGATGTGTAAATATTTACATTGGTGGTTTCTGAGGCTTTTGGTGTGTTGAAGGCATATAGTCTACCCCTTCCCCATCCCAATTATTTCACTTGTTGAGTTCATGGTCTGGACCTTTTTCTTTAACATTTGTTTAAAAATCTTTCTATAATGCATTGATATTAATTTCTTCTTTAGTAATAATAAGACATTGAGCACAATTCACTGCTTCTTTGTCACTTCTGGATTTTGTAATGTTAGTATCAAGCTTAGGAGAATCGAGTCCCTTCATTTTCCACAACGATTTTAAATGTTCAATGCTGTAAATGAGGAACTTATAGAAGACTGGGCTGTGTTGCATATGCACTGACCCCAAAATATAGTGTAGGAGGTGGTGTTTGGACTAGGTTATGGATTTTTTAAAAAAGCTTATCTTCTTTTCAATTGCTTCTTTTCCCTAAGGCAAAATTGCAGGAATGTTCTGGTTAATGAAATTGCTATCTTTTGAATTCATTTGTAGGCCTTTCAATAGAAGTTCAACAATAAGTTCTTTTTCCAGTCAAGAAAACTGTAACCCTTGTTTCTAGCTGCCTCAGCTCTTGGGCTGTTTTAAAGAATGATACATCGAAGATCAATTGTTATTTACATTCACTTATTTTGGTATCTTGGGAAGTTGCAGCATAGATTTAGACCTGGGTTCAAGCTTTTCCTCTGACACCTACTGTCTTTGTGCCTTGCTTTCTGTGTTTTAGAATGATGTCAGGAATGATAATACTCAAATTGACCTGAGTCTGGCAAGAGAAGCTAAGGACCAAAAAAAGAGGTCTTTAAGCAGAGGCTAGATGACTATTTAGTGAATGTTATATTAGGTACTCTTTTTATCCATAGAATGAACCATGGAGATTTATTCCTGTTCTCAAACTATGATCCTGTGAAATGTCAGAGAAGGTTCTGGCTTTTACTGGTAAAGGGAGTTTCCTCACCTGGGAATTCCTTCTGCTATTGGAACCACAGTCCAGTCCCGTCCCCTGTCCTATCTTGGTACAGTGAGCATAGGGTTTAGGGTAGGAGAAGATGGATGGCCCTTTCACTTCTTTTCAAGATGTGAAAGCCATCTCAATTTCTTTTTTCTCTCAATTTCAGCCTTGAAAGAAATGAGGTTCTTGAGCACAGTGAGAAGCTGTGAGCATGGACATCTAGGGTCTTAATTCCTGAAGACTGAAAAATGTCCAAACATTGACATTTCTTGCTTCAATTTTCCAATTTGTTCTCCTTGACATTCCTGTTATCTTTTGTACAGTTTGTACAGGTTCCTGTGAGTCTATTGTTAAAATTTCAATTTGAGCATTTATAACTTGGAAATAAGCAAACCAAGTCATGAATTACTCTTTTGATAAGTGCCTAGACTTAAGAAAGTGATGGAGAAAATGTTAACAATGTCTACTAAAATTATAAGTGTGTTCCTACATACATTTTTCCGGAGAGCTGATTGTTAAACATTTACCAACGTATCACTACATAGGACCTAGGGGTTGACCCCAAGTCTCTTGATCCCAAGATCATAGATAGATTTAGATCTGAAAGGGATCTTAGAGACTATTTAGTCCAACCCCAGCACTTTTTAAATGAGGAAAAATGTAGCCCTGAGAGGGTCAGTGATTTGCCCAAAATCACACAGGTGAGTCAGAAGCAGAATGTGAGTTCTGGCATTCTGATTCTATAGCCAGCATTTATTCCACACTTCTCCAAAACCCAAATTTCTTGTAGCAACAACATACGAGTTATTACAGAACAGATGGAAAAAAGTTTTTTGAATTTTAGCAAAGTGGTAATTTACAGCCCAAATTTAAATTCATTCTGAGTTTTAAGAGGGCAGGAGTGGAGGGCAGGAGTAGTTAGGGAGTAGTCTGTCTTCTTTAGTGTACAATCCTTTTGGTCTATTGCCTTATTTTATTTCCCTGAAAAAAATAATGATACCCTGGGATACCATGTATAATGGTTAGCCCACTCCTGGCAAGTCTAGTAGGCATTGTTTTTAGAATTGTATTTTGGCAAGTTTCTTTTTTTCCCTCTTTTTGTGTTCTTTTCCTGCTGGAGGAATAATAAAGTAGCATACCATCCCTTGTGTCTACACAGATGATGTTATAAAGGCCTTTATCTAGTAGCGATGGGCCTGTGCCACTTCTCTCTTTTTGCCTTTTCATGTTCTCTTTTGTGTGGGGCGAGAAACAACATTCCTTGGCCTTGGGAACCAGAA